TTCAAACGGACACTTCCCAGTTGCTTGGTTGACAGAGTTGTTATAAGCAAACTCAACTTGAGCAAGAATAAGATCCCACTGCTTCAAATTCTTCCCTATGAAACTGCGAAAAAGATTACCAAGAATCCTATTTATAGCTTCAGTTTGACCGTCTATCTGGGGGTGACTAGCGCTGCTAAACTGTAGCTTAGTTCCCATCTTCTTCCATAACGTCCGCCAAAAGTGGCTAAGAAACTTCACATCACGGTCAGAAGTAATAGTTCTAGGAATGCCATGAAGACGCACAATCTCCTTAAAATACAAGTCGGCTACTTGAACAGCATCGTTGGTCTTCTGGCATGGGATGAAATGGGCCATTTTTTAGAAGCGATCCACAACTACCATGACAGAATCTTTTTGCCTCTGAGTCCGTGGTAAACCCAGAACAAAATCCATAGTTATATCTTCCCAAGGTGCTTCTGGAATTGGCAGAGGCATGTATAGTCCAGTATTCTGACCTTTGGATTTAGCCAAGTGACAAATTCTGCATCTCTGTATATGCCTGTTGACATCCCGTTCAAGTCGAGGCCAGTAAAAGTTCTCCTTCACTAGGTTAATTGTCTTATCTCGTCCAAAATGTCCAGCTAATCCACCATCATGTGCTTCCCAAATTATGGCTTCTCTCAAGGAACCCTGTGGAATACAGAGGGTTTTACCTCGAAATAAAAACCCGTCGTGTCTGTAGAACTGGTGGAAAGGTTGATTTATAGTTGCTTCCCACACTCCTCGGAAATCAGGATCATCTTGATATAACTCTTTGACAAGGTCAAATCCAACAACCTTGGTTTGTAGTGTTGTAAGTAGTACATGGTGACGACTAAGGGCATCTGCTACGGAGTTCAGAGTTCCAGCCTTATGTTTGATAAGGAATGGATAAGACTGTAAGAGTTCACTCCAACGAGCATGTCTGCGGCTGATCTTCTGCTGGGAATTCAAATACTTGAGAGCCTCATGGTCCGAAAAAAGTATGAACTCTTTATTTAGGAGATAATGACTCCAATATTGAAGAGCTCGAACAATGGCATAGAATTCCTTGTCATAGGTAGAATATTTGAGCTTGGCATCATTGAGCTTCTCACTAAAAAAGGCAATGGGATGGCCCTCCTGGCTTAAGACAGCACCAATGCCAGTGTTAGAAGCATCACAACTAACTTCAAATACTTGATCAAAATTAGGAAGAGCTAGGACTGGAGCTTTGGTCAACTTCTTCTTAAGCTCCTCAAAGCTTTTCTGAGCTTGCTCTGTCCACTGAAACTTCTCTCCTTTGGTGCAGTCTGTAAGTGGTGCGGCAATTGAGCTAAAATTACGGATGAACCTCCTGTAGAAAGAAGCTAATCCGTGGAAGCTTCGAACCTCCTGGATGGATTTTGGAATTGGCCAGCTGTCAATGGCTACAACTTTACTTGGATCAACGCGAACACCTTCCGCGGTAATGATGTAACCCAAGAACACAACTTCGTTGGTGAGGAAGGTGCACTTCTTGAGATTTGCATAAAGCTTCTGCTCACGCAAGGCTTGCAAAACTTGCCGCAAGTGATCTAAATGCTCCTCTTGATTCTTACTGTAAATAAGAATATCGTCAAAGTACACAACAACAAATTTACCAATGAAGGGTCTCAATACCTGATTCATCAGGCGCATAAATATGCTAAGAGCATTTGTTAACCCAAAAGGCATCACATTCCACTCATATAAGCCATCTCTGATCTTGAAAGCAGTCTTCCACTCATCTCCTGGTCGAATTCTGATTTGATGGTACCCACTACGAAGATCAATTTTGGAGAAAGTAATGGCACCATGCAATTGGTCCAGCATATCATCAAACCGAGGTATCGAAAACCGATACTTAATAGTGATCTTGTTGACGGCTCGGCAGTCAATGCACATTCTCCAACTCCCATCCTTCTTAGGTACTAGAAGAACAGGTACAGCACAAGGGCTGATACTTTCTCGAACTAACCCTTTCTTCAACAACTCTTCAACTTGTCGTTGGACTTCGGCATGTTCCTGGGGACTCATCTTATAAGCAGGCTTATTAGGAATGACTGCTCCTGGAACGAAGTCAATGGCATGCTGTATGTCTCGCATTGGAGGCAACCCTGGTGGTATCTCATCGGATATTACATCTGAAAATTCTGACAATAACGGAATGACTCCAGGTGGATTGACCATCTCATCGTTCACCTCAAGCACCAGAATAATGCTCATCATTTGGGCTTCGGATTTTGACACCTTGAATTCCTCCTTAGTCAACAAAGACACTAACGGCTTAGATACACTAGATTCCCTTGAAGATTGGCTAATCTCATTGGGTGGTAGAGGCGCTAGTGTAAACTTGACACCATCTTTCGTAAAAGAATAAGTGTTCGCTCGCCCGTTATGCATAGCATGTCGGTCATATTGCCATGGCCTCCCTAAGAGAAGGTGGCATGCATCCATGGGAACAACATCACATAAAACTTCATCACAATATCGATTCCCAATAGAAAAGGTCACAAGGCATTGTTTAGAAACTTTTACCTCATTCCCTTTGTTGAGCCAGTGAAGCTTGTAAGGTTGTGGATGATCTTGTGTTGGCAACTTCAATTTCTCCACCATGTAGTTAGATACTACATTTTCACAGCTTCCACTGTCAATGATGACATTACAAACTTTTCCTTGGGCCGTGCAACGAGTGTGAAAAATGTTGCGTCGTAACCAAGGTTCTTCTTTGACTACTGTTGTATGCAGACTTCGTCTAAGCACCAATGCTTCTCCTTGATCAGCAGGTGTGACCTCCTCATCATATACGGGATCAGTGCCGTAGAACTCATCGTCCTCATCACCTTCTTCAAGTGCTTCATACCCTGATCCTTCTCGAATGGTGACAACCCTTCGTGTAGGACAGTCCGCAGCAATATGGCCAAATCCTTGGCATTTAAAGCATTTGATTGCTTTGGAACCAGATTCCTTGGCAGCATTGGATGGTGGTTTGCGCATAGCAGTAGGTTGTGGCTTGCTTGAGGAGTTAGTCTGCTGAAATTCTGCTTTACGGCCTTTTGGATAACTCCTAGAGGATGAAGGTTGGAAAGCGGATCTCTTGGGCATCTGCTTCTCAACACGCACGGCCAGACGGATGACATCATCCAAGGTCCAATATTGTTGAAGCTGGACTGGACGACTGATATCTGTGTTTAAGCCTGCAAGGTACCGGGCTATTGTTTGCTCCTCCTTCTCGTGAATATCACACTTCATCATGAGTTGTTCAAACTCTCTAGTATATTCTTCTACAGATAAAGATCTCTGTCGAAGATTTTGCAACTGGATAAAATTATCCTGGTGGTAATGATCTGGTAAAAATTTCCTGGTGAGCTGGCGTTTCATTTTCTCCCAGGTTTCAATCTTGCGCTTTCCCTCACGTTCTCACTTCCATCTGAGGTTTTCCCACCAAATAAAAGCATGTTTCTGAAGTTTGAGGGCGACAATTTTGACTTTCTGCGCATCTGGAATCTCCTTGTATTCAAATACTCGTTCAACAGTTTGTAGCCAATCTACAAACTCGTCTGGCTGGAGCCTTCCCTCGAATTCAGGAACGTCAACCTTGATGTCATTAGGGCGGAATTGTTGTTGTCGTGGGCGGCGGCGGTTTTCAGTAGATGACGAACTACTGCTTCCCGAATCTCTCTCTAAGTTTTCTCTGTTGTTGTTTAACAGAGTTTGCTGCAATTTCACAGTGGCTTCCAATTCTCGTATCCTACGTCTCAACTCTTCCATCTCAACCTCGTGCACATGTCTACGTCTTGGAGGCATTTTGAATAAGTGTCAAGGCTAGGGATAAAGATTGGGGTGCGATTGGAAACGTTGAAGGATATAGGGGTAAAGTGATTTTTTTTTCAAAGGCTAGGGGCAAAATGGGGATTTTGGACTGTCTAGGGGGTAAAATAGCGATTCTAGAAGAATGATGGGTCAAATTGAAATTTATGAAAAATATAGGGGTTAAACTGGAATTCAGGTAAAATCAAGGGGCAAAAGTGTAATTTGAGGAAAGTTTAGGGGTTAAAATGGAATTTCTGAAAAATTTGGGGGATAATATGAAATTTCATAAACAATAGGGGTAAATTTAGAATTACTGAAAGATTTGGGGCGAAAATGCAATTTCTGAAAAGTTGGCTGACTGGGCGCAGTGACGTGGCGACTGTGACACGTGGCATAAAACTATTGGTCTGACCTGTCGTTGACCGGGTCAGAACGATGACGTGGCAGCTGACGTCAGCGTCTTCAACCTTCGGATAGTGTGTGACGGCGCGTGGACCGGCGGCGAGGCGCGTGGTTTTCCGACGGCGGCGCGTGACGGCATGTGCGACTGTTTCCGGCGGTTCCCCGTTTTCGGACCTCCTGAGCACGATGGTGATGTTAGTTTTCTGAGAAAATGCCCGGTTTGTGAAACGCGAAGACGTCAGGGACTCCTCCTCTGAATCTCTCTTCTTTCCGGCGTACTTTCTCAACTGTAACTCACTCTCTCGTTCTCTGGACTAGCTCTGATACCAAAATGGCACAGAAACCGAATGAAAAGAGAAAACTCTGAATTTTATTTCTAGTCTGCCTCCTTACAACAAAGTGAGTGTCCTATTTATAGTGTTAGGACTCTGAACGAAAACAGTAATCAGCTAACGTTACAAATGTAAATGCTAAACGTTTTATTGGCTTAATGAAGGGTAACGGAACACGTTTGGCTTCAATTCTGTAACTCTCGTGTATTAGTTCTGTTGTCCGTTTCAGTCCGTTTCAGTGGGTGTGACACTTATTGAAAGAAAAATGATAAAAAATCGTTTGAGGTGGTTCGGACATGTACAAAAAAGAACATGGGAGCCACCTATGAGGATAGTTGAACAAATAACTTTGAGTTCTGTCAAGAAGGGTAGAGGAAGACTGAAGAGAATATTTTTAAAGGTTGTTGAGTGAGACTTCTAATTAACAATATTTTTAAAAACTTAATGATAGAGAACAATGATGTCATATAATTTATGTAATCGATCTTACTTAGTGGGATAAGGCTTGTTGTTGATGTTATTGTTATTGTTGTTGGTAGTGTTGAAATCAGAATTAGTACATGCCATCTGAGAGTGACCATCTGATCCAAAGGCTGAGAAATACGAGGGAACCCGCTTATAACACCCACAAACAGAGTCGTTTGACACGTTAGTTTCTTCATGCAACTGGACACGTGTTTCTGTAGTTGGAGATGTCCGATCCGAACTTTCCACCTTGAGAGACCAAAAATTCCCTGTATCTGACCTTTCTGAGTTAGCAGAAGTTGGTGGAAAAGCCATAGGTCCGGCATGGCTGTTCAGCAAATATGTTCTCCAATCCAAAACTTCAAAAGAAAGCAATGACAAATCAAAAGTAACTTAAACCGACTCGTCATGTGCATGCCGAAGAAACCAAGATCTTGCCAAAGCAATTAGAGCAGAAGACAAAGGAGTGCAAGAACTATGAACGTGACCCACCTTGCGACAGTTGAAACAAATTCCATGAAAGCGTTCATAGTAAATGTTGAAATCAAAGTCCACATTGTTAGCATAAAACCAGAGAACCTATCACGAAGTGTATGGGCTGTGAATACGAAGCAGTCTCTAAATATGGGCCCAACGTTTAACTGTTGGGCCAGAAGTTACATAAAGAGGGCCTGGAGGGTTGAGGTGGAGGCAGAGAAGAATATTGGTGGTCACTTTCTCCTTGTTCAACTCCTTTTCATCTGTGTTCTCTTCCTACTGTGTCTGCACTACTGCTCTTATTTCTTTACGATTATTTTCCTTCCATTTTCTTGGTATCTTCATGCCAATGGCTGTAATGACTGATACATGAACTCTTTTCCTGAAATATTGAGGCAATATTAATAGAATATTTGTATTCAGGGGCATTTTTTGTTTCCTAGTCTCTGCTAATAAATTGGTGATCGTAGCAGAGCCATGAAACTTAAGCGGCTGAGAAAAATCAATAAGAACACGCATCCCAATTCCAAAAGCACTGGTAGAACTATCAATAAGAGAGGGATAATATGCAGAGTAGAATTAAACCATATATATGAACCCAGATTGGAACCGAAGAAAAAGAAACCTCCCGAAGCCGTAAGAAAGGTTCCCATTTTTTTTTTTTTAGTATGACCAAGCTACCATTAAAGAGAGCCAAGGTGCACCATAGAGCATGGAGTTTCGGTCATAAATATTGCTGAAGTAAAGAAGGAAACGATGACGACAAGATTGAATACCTTGAACATCACCCCTTAGTCTCCAAAATCGAGAGATGCATGCTTAAAATTTTGATGGATGAAATCTTCGGTTATCAAGAACCTCAGCAAACAGATAATGAAGCTCACACAATTCTTGATCAAGAAAACCATCCTTCTTAGAAGAAGCCATACTCAGGAAAAGAACCAAAAGCAAAAGGAACCCAACAGCAACCAAGAAAGAAAAGGAGCAAAAAAGAGTAGAGTAAAACCTACAGAGACCTAGAGAGAAAGCTCTCCCTTCAAGCATTTTTTCCCTTCCCATTTAGATATGGTAACGTGTATAGAGAAAGAGATATCTAGAGTACGGGGAAAAAAACATGAAGAGGAAGAAAGGAGGAGGAGGGAGGATAGCGTGATCATTTCATTTCACCATTGCTCTGAACAATGCTGCAGTAATAATTTTATACTACTAAAAACAGAACTAACTATTAATTAGCAATCACCTCAATCTCAATCTCGCTCATCCTCCCAACATTTTCTTCCTTAGTTTCTGGTTCTTCAAATTTGGGCAATTTTGATAAAACAAACTTAGCACAGTATACATAAATCCCAAAAAACACGAAGCTGAGTGATCCCAACACCAGAAAATACTTATCCAGGTGACTATCGTTTGCGGAATGCTTGATCCAGGAATGGAAAATGAATGCAAACAGAATGCTGGAGAATTTTCCGATCCCCAACAGCATTTCAATGCCCGGCTCCACAAATGTTCTCATTGATCCAGGCACCTGATCCTCCACGAAAGTCTTTAGCCCATGTTCTGCAGAGCCTTTCATTAGCCCTAGCAGGAAATACTGTGGAGTTAAGACCATGATGCTTAAGGAAATAACCTCATCTGGGTCTATTAGAAACTTAACCATAGAAAGCCTTTGCCGTTCTACTAGCCAAGCCGCAATACAGCAAAGTACTGAACAAAACATCCCAACAGCTATACTCCAAATTGGTTTCACCTTTTCTTTTACCCTCGGTGATTCGGTTATACTTGTAACCACACGAGAAACAACGAACTTAAGTACAAAGAAAACCACCAGAGGAACATCAAAGTTACCAACTTTAGAATCCAAGTTGCTTGCTTGCTGAACAAAGTAAGTGTTACCAGAAGCAGAAACCAGGCTGTAGGCAAAGAAGGTGAACCCCAAGGGTAAACTAAAATAAAGGCTCTTCACGTCTCTCACTTGCTCTGCCGTACAAACCTCTTCGTTCCCTTCTCTCTCTCCGCTTTCGCCATCGGGATTGTTCTTAACAGCGGCCTTGTCCAAGAATGACAAAAACGATGGCTGACGAGGCAACAAGAGAACCTTTTTATCATCTTCTCTCTCATAAAAGTGGTCTTCTGAATCAGCAAAACCTTGATCGTTGCCATTGGATGAGTAATAACCCGCTTTTGAAGAAGGGTATGATTCCCTTCGTTTCTTAATAGCTGCCTTAAAGACCCTATAAATGGTAGTGAGAGGACTTATTTGTGGTCTATCCTCTGGGTAGTAGTAGAAAATCCCGCAGAAGAATAATAAATACGTAGTCCCCATGACAAGAGATGAAACCTCGAACCTTGTCGGCCAAGAAGTTCCGCTGTCGCCTAACCAATACAGAGCTATAAAAAGAACAGCAAAGGAAGCAGCAACACTCCAAAGATTAGGAGTTTGAACAATGTCAGTGACAACCGCCCAGTTTCTGTTTTCACGGATTACTTTGGATTTTAGTTGTGTTGGACCCCACTTGGTATTAAAACTTCTGCCATATTTTCTACATAAAATATTTGACGTCAACTTCACTTTAAAAGGGAATTGGATGCTTTCCAACTCTTCTATATATTTTTTGTTATTTTTGGTGTACTTTTTCATTATTTTCACTCTCAATTGATATCGAAAAAAGTCTGCTAAAATTGACTTTCCGGCTATGCCTAACGCAGTAAGTACTATTGCAAAAATCACCACACTAAGGTCAAATGTTGACGAGGCGCAAACCCATAACAGCATCAATCCCTGAAATTAAGAGAAATATTATAGTTTCATTTAATCCTTGCGTTCATAAATAAAAAACGTACTTATAAAAAGAAAAAGAATTTCGTGGCCATATGGTGTGAAGGGTATAATGGAGAAGATGAGGGAAAAGACCGGTGGAATTTGTGCTCCATCAGTTATGAGATGGAAATCAATTCCATCAATTTTGATTAAAAGGTGTGGAAGCTCAATTCAACCCACTTTTACCCAACTAAACATATAAAATTTTGAATTTCATTTTTATATCCATTTCCATCCTCTCATTTCCACCATATCAAATTGTTTCTCTCACGAATACATACTATAACCAAATGATGGGGAAAAAAATGAGATTTCGAGTGTGTAATGTGATATCTAATGCCTAAAACCTCAACATTTCATTTTAAGTCTTAGTCATTCATTTAATAGGGAATTAGATGAAATTGCTCCCATCATTAAATGAAATGAAGGGCCAAGATTTTTGGCACTAAGAAGGTTGTGGAGAGAACAACAGAGACAATCCAAGTTTGAGAAATAGACGATCAAGTACGGTCTATGATTCAGCGGAGTTGCCTGTGTGTGTATGGCTTATGAATAGAGCAAAGACAAGACATGATAGCTTACCATAGTGTAGGCTGCGGCGCAGGAGATAATGACAAGGAGGCGTCCAGCTGGGCGAGCTTCTGATATGTGAGTTACTCCTACTTTGAAGACAGCTGATATCCCATCCAGAAAATTCACGAGCGCGGCAGCATCCCGCGCACCACGGTGTTGTTCCAGGAAGTCCGACAAAACGATCACAACTACATTTTGAGCCAAGCTATAGCTGAGAACTAAGCCTGAATTATGAACATCATCATCAGAGAAACAAGTGAGGATTATTAATTAGTTGATTTCATCTGATAGAAGCTAATAGTGTTACCGCAGATGAATGGCACGGTCTTGGAGAGGACGAACCCATTACGGAGCCAATCGATTAATCTTCTCCTAAAACTAGTGTTCTTCTCCATTTGGGGACCTAAGCATCACCTTTTCTTTCTGTTGGCACCGAATAATGTGACTTAGCTTGATGCAGAGGAAGAGGAACGATCGGATTAAATAATAAGGACAAACAAGGAGGTAGATTACATTGCATCATTGAAAGCGCGTCGATCTGGTCTTCGTTAAAAAGGACTTTTTTTTTTTTAAATAATCCGTTAAAAAGGACTTTATATTAAACAGAAGTCCACGAAACGATATCTAACTATTTCTTTATTATATGTACTTTCATCTAAAATTATAAGATAATTTTAAAATATTTTATAGTTTAAAAATATAAAATAATTTTAAAAAATTAAGATTTTATTAATTATGTTTGTTCAGCATCACTCTTCAAATAAAAAGAGAATTAAAATGAAATTATAATGTAATGATTAAGTGTATAAGAATATTTTAACTTTTAAAATGCGTAGTTTTGTTTTTAAAAAAAATTTATAAGGTGTCATTATTAATCTTGTCTTGTCTTAAATGGCATTCACATTTCTTAAGGGTTGGGAGCAATCCTAACCCTCCATTTTATTTTAAAATGATCTCTGTTGTTCATTTTAATTAATTTTTGAATATTTCTAATATTATGTTTATTAATATAAAAAATGTAAAAAAATTTAATATTGTATCTAAGCTGTCTTTAGTGTTCATTAGGGAATGAAAATCATGGTATTCATTACTGTTGATGAGATTTGAACCATTTAAATTTAAAATTTTTTATTTTTATGTTATATTTATTAAAATAAAATTTATAAAAAATTTAATAAATCTTTTTATTACCAATTTGGTTAGTATAAATTTATTCTAAATAGTCTAATTTAATATTAAAAATTTTATAATTTGACTATGTAAATAGAGTTGGATAACTCAAATATAATCTGGATAATTTAATTTAATATTAAAAAATTTATAAATTTTATAAGTTAACCATTTAAATGTATTTTGGATAGTCTAAATTTAATATTAATTTTTTTATATTTTTTATATTAATAAAATAATATTAAAAATATTTAAAAATTAATTTAAATAAACAACTGAGATCATTTTAGAGTTTAGAGTGAAATGGCGAGCACTCTATGCTGCGGACGCGTCTCAAATGTGAATGGGAGAAAATTATCAGGAAACAAGTTATCGCTCTCAATGACTTACGTGACTGAAAAGCAAAGACCAAGGAAAAAGCTATGTTGGCTCAAAAAAAAAAAAAAAAAAAGGAAAAAGCTATGTTAAAACGGGACAAGTTGATGGTGGGATCGAGAAAAGGATAAAGACAAGAAAGCGCTAAGAACGAGTTCAATGACGAAGGCCATGTGTTCAATGTTTTTCTGTTTTAATCTTCTCACTCGCAAATTAAAAAAGACCAAGACTTGTGGAAGTCTGAAAAGTTGCATTAGCCTGAAAAGGCGTTTGGTGTTCATCAGGATCTGGACGTCCAGATTTTAGTGTTGTAAGAGTGGCTTTCTTCCTAGTAATTTCCTTATTTTCCATGGATATATTATATAACAGAGGTGTGAACTGCATGTGAAGCACAACAATTGGGTATAGTAAAAAAGAAATACGGCAACAGGCAGTTAATCAGCCAATAGATATACACTAGAACAAAATGTTATATTAATGACACTTTTTGCAACAATAGTTATGTAAAGAATTGTCATCATAATAGATTGAATGTAAATATGTGGTGAAAGAATAGTTACTATGGCAACAATTACCTTTGAGAGCTGTCACCATAATACATTTGCTTTAACATCATTAAATTTAAAAATTTTATTTTAATTTTTATATTTAATATTACTCTTTTTTTAATTGCAAAAAAATTAACATCTAATGTAATAAAAATTTTATAATATATATATATATGTATATGTATGTATGTATATATTAAATTTTATATTATATAAATAAATTATATATTCCCTCCATTCAAAAATGTAAGGAATTTTTTGAAAAGTTGAATGTTAAAAAATATAAGACATTTTTAGTTTTTTGAGGTGTAATAATTATTTTTTTTCTTAAAGTGCCCCTATTGATAGTGACTCTATTTATTATAAGATAAAGTAGCAAATTTGGTCATAGACTATTTTTTGAGTAACATCTAGTAGCCTAAACTATCAAATAATGTAAAATAAATCATGAACTTTCAAAAATGAAACATTAGTAGCCCACCGTTAACTTCAGTTAACGGATGTTATGTGGGGCCGATAATGACACATGACATAACACAAGCATAACACATCAGTATGGTAAAGGAGCAACTTTAGTCACAAACTATTTTTTGAGGAGCGCTGGGTAGTTTCTACTATAAAAAAAATAAACCATCCAACACCTTCTCCTCAATTTTAACCAAACACTGTTTATTTTCACACTTATGAGGCCTACAAAGCATTAATCTTTTCAATTTTCTTGCTTTCATTCTCAATATAAGTTTCAGAAGAAGATGTTCAATGAGTTCTTATCTAAAGACATTCACAAGGACGATACCAATGAAGTAGAAGTTTAATTTTACTACGTATGAGAGAAACTTAATTCTAGCTTAATTTAGTCATGAATTATTTCTTCTACTTTAGCGTCCTCTTCGTGAATGTCTTCAGATAAGAATTCTTTGAACCTCTTCTTCTCGAGTTAAGAATGAGAATGAAGGCAAGAAGATTGAAAAAGTTAATACTTTATAGGTCTCATAAATATGAAAATAAATGGCGTTTGGTCAAAATTACGGGAAAGGGTGTTGGATGGTCTACTTTTTTATAGTAAAAGCTACCTAACGCTCCTCAAAAAATAATTTGTGGCTAAATTTATATCTTTGTCATGCTGACGTATCATGCCTATGTCATGCCACATGTCATTGTGAGGCTTACATAACGTTCATTAGTTGAAATTAACAGCGGGCTACTAGATGCTTTATTTTTAAAAGTTTGTAATTTTTTTTACACCATCTTATCAGATGCTCCTTAAAAAATAATTTGTGATCAAATTTGCACCTTTACCCTTTATTATAAGGTGTTTAGTAAGGGCAAATATAAAAAGTTAGGGTTACTTCGAAAGTAGATAACTATTTTATTTGGGAGTAAGATTCGGTTAAAAATGCCTTCCATTTTTAACAGAGGGAGTAGATTTTTCTTATTAATAATACTATAAATTATTTTTAATATTTAATTTTTATGATGAAGACCATGATATATTGAGATCTTGATCAGATAGAGAATAATGCTGAACACACACAATGTGCGTGTGTATGCGTGTGGTTTCCTTCATCATATTCCTATTTAGAGCTCTTCAAATACAAATCAGTCCCCCTCCTTAGTTTCTAGTTGCTGCAATTGGGTAAATATATCAATAACTTGCACTTGGCGTACCATACATAGAACCAAAAGAACACGAAACTCAATGATGCAAGCATGAGAAAATACCTATCCAGGTGACTCTTATTTATGGAATCTTTGATCCAACTGCGAAATATTAATGCAAACAGCATGCTAGAGAATTTTCTAATTCGCAACAGCATTTCAGTGCATGGACCGACAAATTTACTCATCGATTCAGGCACTCCATGAAGCACCAACGTCTTTAATCCACGTTCTGCATTAACCCTAGCAGCAAATACTGTGGAGTTAAAACCATGATGCTCAAGGATATAATTTCCTTATTTGGGTCTTTTCTAATCAGAGACAGCCTTTCACGTTCCACTAGCCAAGCCGCAACATAGCAAAGAACTGAACAAAACATTCCAGCAGCGATGCTCCAAATTGGTTTCACCAGTTGTTTTCTTGATTGGATTGTTCTAACACAGAAGCAACCACAGATTCAAGTACACATAAAACCATGATAGGAACATTGAAATCTCCAACTTTGGAATCCAAGTTGCTTGTTTGCTTCACAAAGTAATTAAGTGGTACCACAAGCTGCAACCAAACTGTATGCAAAGAAGGTGATCCCCAAGGGGATAACTGGATAAAGACTCTTCACGTCTCTTACTTGTTCCACTTACAAACTTGTTCATTTCTCTCTTCACTTTCAGCATCATCGTTGGGGTTTTTATTCCCGGATATAGAGTGGCCTTGTCCAAGAACGACAAAAATGATGGATCACGTGGGAACAAGTGAACCTCGTAATTTTCTCTCCGATAAAAGGGATCTAGTAAATCATTTGAAACTTGATTGTTACTGTTGGAGGAACCATTTTCTCTTCCGTAAAAGGGGTCCTTTGAATCATCATTTGAACCTGCATTGTTACTGCTAAAGGAATTATAATAACCCTCTAGTGAAGAAGGCTATGGCAATCTATAGCTTCCTTAAAAACCCAATATATGGTAGTAAGAGGACTTCCTAAGGGCCTTGCTCCTGGGTGATAGCAGAAAATCCCAGAGAAGAATAATAGATACGAAGATACCATAACAAGAGACGAAGCCTTGAACTTAGTCAGCCAAGGTGTTTTGCCTAACCAAAACACAGCTATATCAGAACCAGCAATGTAAGCAGTAATACTCCAGAGATTGATAGTTCTGCTGCGATTTTGATTTTCTTCTGATGATTCCTCATCTTCTCCTTGGTTATTTTCTGTACACATGTTCTTGAGGTTTTCACTCATCATCAATTGATAGTTAAAAAAATCTGTTAAAGCTGGGTTTCCTCCGGCTTTGCCCGACAAAATTACAGCTATTGCGAAAATCTCCATACCAAGATCCAAAGTTGTCGAGGCGCTAACCCATAGTAACATTAACCCCTGAAATATAATTTTATCTTCTTGAGAACGTAAAACGTATTATAATAAGAACATCACATGCAACTTGAAAAAGTTTAATTAGTTTTCTAATCAATTACTTAAACATTTGCATTTCATGACCAATTAAGGTGTGTTTGATTTCACGTTGAAAGTCATTAAAACCATGCATGTGAACTCAATTAAGACATGGTTTTTGGTGGGTTTTATCATATATACCAAAACATGACCAAGTAATTAAGAAATACTCCATCTAGTCCTAATTATAAGACAAAGTTAATCAACTTCACAACTTTTAATTAAAAATAATAGTT